TTCTTCAAAGCTAGAATTGCCAATATTATTGAAAACGCCGTAGCTGCGTGCTATTTATTTGATACCAATATATAAATATTCTTGTCAGTGTTGTTTGCTAACTGCAATTCCTAAAGGTGGCTTATTTAACAGAAATGTATAAAATAACAATTATGCTGATGGTATTTCAAGAAAAATTTCCCGATTTGCCAGCTATATCCTGAGGTACAATTAGCAAAATTGAAAAGCAGTTTCGCGAAAATGGACATGTACAGCAGCAAAAGGTGCTTGCATTGCAATTAGTAGATAACGTTACCAAATTAGATGTTCTGCTCGCGTTTGAAGAAAACCCACATAGTTCAAGTCGACAAGCAGTTTCAGCATTGAATGTTTCTCATTCTTCGATTATTAAAAGAAAAGAAAATTTCTGGGCTAATGAAATCTCTAAATCCTCACTGGATGAGACAATTACATACGCAAAATCCTGAAAAGGTTAGCGGGAATAATTAGAAACTATGTAATTGGTCTCTTTTTCATTGATGGCAATTTGAATGGAGATCATTATTTACTTCTGCTCCAAAATAACGTTGTGCCAACTTTGATATATCCTGCTCAATCAAACCCACAAGATCCAGCCAATGTGATATGGTTCCAACAGGATGAAGCACCACCACATTACTGAATCAATGTCCAGCACAGCCTTGACTTAACAATCCCAAATAGGGAGGCGAAAATCGTTAGAATGACCAGCACGTTCTACTAATCTTATACTCTTAGATTTAATTCTATTGGAATATGTGAAAAGTATGGTATAGAAAACTAAGCCATGCGATATAGCCGACTTGAAAAGAAAAATAATGATTGCGGTTCGGTCACGCCTCAGATATTGGAAAACATTAAGACTTTTTTTATATACTACTAGGATGCTGCCAAGACGTTTAAAGAACTCATTTTGTACATACCCTGCTACGTTTTTTAGTAATTTTAGTAGTTTTTAAGTAATTTTTTATTCAATTTGCTGCAGCGAATTTCATTACGAACATGAATGAATTTACTTTTTACTGATAATTTTTGCAAAAAATATGAAAACTATAGTATTTTTGTCTAGAGAATGAAAAGCCCTTCCAAATGAGGTATCACGAGCCACCACCTTCTTCTGCCTCTTGACGGGGATTGAATTTAGGGATGAAATTTTTATGTTGCAGGACGTCATTTCAGAATATAATGAATTTATCCATCTGGCTGTTCTACACTGGTATATCATTATAGCCAAGCATTTCGTATATGTAACGTTGCCACAAGTCACAACCAAATTTTACTTTTTTGTCAAGTAACTATGTTGATGATCATATCAGGAAGCTTTAATGTTTTATTAAAGAAATTACACAAGTGCAGACTTATAGGAAACTCTTAAGTTATTCTGATTGTTATATACCACAGTTGGAAAATCATCGAACAATTATTATAGGTATTTTTTTTATAAAAAAATATTATTCGTTTTTTTCACAACAAATCCAAATCCACTGCTGCTATTGTTGCCACTGCTTCACTATTTGTAGCTGTTATATGCGGCGGTTCGTAATATTGTGAATAGATGAGGCCCCTGACTTTTTTTAGTAGGTGAGCAATAAAGAAAAAAAAACACCGCAGATAAAAAATGTTTAATTTTCAAGGTCAAACAACTAAATGAATCTGGACATTTTGAATTGCATATAATATTTTTGTAAAACTGATGTTCACAAGAAGGATTTTCTTTGACTTTATAAAATAAAATAATATAGAAATATTTGCGCAACTATTTGGATATTTTTCTCGTGTAGATTGGAAACCATAGCATACTATAGGCAAGTATGACATGCTTACAAGGCAGGAAATTATGGCCTCTCTAGTGGGGAGTATGTATTGATACAATTATTTTATAGTTATTTTGGTTTTGATAAACGTAACTGGAAAAATTGTTTATTTAGGTTAATAGTAGAATAGTAGGTATTAAATGACATGGTGTGAGAGCCAAATTTTACAGTGAGGCCCAGCCTCAGTTGCTTCATACAACGAGCTGCCACTGACACACCCTGATAAAAGCAACGGTAGTTTTAAATAGATTTATTATTATACTATTGTAACAGTTAGTATATCAGTATATATATTTATAAAGGGTAGACAGTATACAAAGTGTTTATTACAAATAAGCACCTTAAAACAACAATAATAAAATTAATGTAAAAGTAGAAAAGGTGCTAAAATTTACAATTGTTCATTAGAATTTGTCTACAACGCCCTATTTTTCTATTTGTGCCATGACAAATGTGTATCATTCTATTATTTAAATTGCACAAAATCAAATCAATAATTTCATGAAATTCACCTAAGACTTTAAAATTACATTATGTATTTAATATATACTTGCCTACAATTGAATCTATATTAGCTACGTTTTTGTAACATAACAATATTATTAAGTTAGTTATAAAACATACAAAAAATTATATGAAGACAATGGCATTGTAGAGATCCAGTAAGATTAATGTATAAAAAATTTATAATTATATAATACACTTATGTGTAGTTTCTTGCTGCTCTTGTAATCCGAAACAGCAATAGATTAAATACTACCTATGTACATAAGTATCAAATACATTTAATAAAAGGAAAAAAAAAATAAATAACTGACTTGTAAACCCTGTAACTTCTTATTTAAAATGTTCAACTAATTTGAGTAGAAATTGTTATAAAATTTATAAAACACACAAAATTTTGCTACATCTATCACTAAATTTATAACTATAAAGCACCATAAATGTTTGACATTTCATTTATAATTAACTACAAAATTGTATGTACAAAAGTTACATTTTCAGCTCCTTGGCAAAATTAATGCAGAGTCTGTAAATCACTCAATAAATGGCACATTTAAATCTAAATCACATCCCTCTACAGACTTAAATCGCTGGCAGTATAGTCAGTCATATAACATATGAAAAATAAACTCATTTATCAAAATGTCCAAGATTAAAATGACATGCTTCAAATAAATGCACTATTTGTAATATTCACTTCTATATATCGCATGCTCTTCATAAAATCACACTTAGTGAGTAAATTTATAGAATCACTTTGACATATGCAAAAATAAAAGTAATACAATAAGACATAATTAATCTGCTTATTTGACAAAAGGATTTCAGCTGTGATAAGTAACTATTTTTAATGGCATTTTTTAAAATTGATTTTTCACAACATTTATGAAACTGTAAATTCTGAATACACAAAATTGCATGTAGGTATATACTTTCTGCCTTAATATACCAGATTAGAACTATTTAATAGGAAACTACATGGGTATCAGAAACTATTAAAAGATTCATGATGGCTGTTTATAAAAAAGTTGAGCAATAGCTTCCTGAAACCTTTCTTGCAATTGTATCTCAGAAATTTCAAATTGTTTCAGAAATACAGTTAATTAACAAATTGTTTTTTTGAGTCGTAACTCATTCACTAAAATTATTCAGTTGCTGAGCAAAAGTCTAATTCCAACGGTCACATCAAATTTATAGTTTTTTTCTTTCTTTTGATCATATGAAAAAACAATAGTGTCCAAAAAATAAAAGTTACACTATTCAAATCAAAATAACAAAATAATTTTGACCAAAATGTTTTATGTTCAACAAAATGAAAAATTTCATAAAACTGTGAAATTACGAGTATATTCATTCTTATTTCAATAACTCTACAAGCATGCCACCCCCGTAATCATGGAATGTCAGAACATTTTTAGTAGACACAGAATGGTCCAACATACACGACACCAAAATCACTCCGATTGATCCCTGCGCCCAGCGAACAATTTTTTTCTAATTTGACATGGAGAGTACCAACAAAGGTGTAAATTGTAAAAAAATATTTAATATAGCTACAAATTAGTCTAGAATGCATATACTCGGCTGGCCGAAACTGATAAGTATAACTTTTACACTTAAAAATAATTGAAAATTTATATATGCAATTGTTTCTGTTTTAAACAATGACGTAACATTTATTTTTTATAAGAGGACTGTGTGAAAAAAGTTAGTACATCTCTGATCCTTTTTGCTTAATGAGTTTGTCTGAAACCAGTTTTATCATTTTTCCTCAACTTGCAAAGTATTTTTGAAAAAATTTTATTTGAACCATTCGTAATATTAAGCCAATCTTAACTGAACACTCGTATTCTAGAAACAAGTTTAAATACCTCAGATCCGATTTCAACTAAAACTTTAGCGAAATGTGCAACACTTCTGCAATTTCAGTTACTTTAATATCTAATAGTTTATTACTGTAGTTTTTCGTTAAACAGTTCTAATCCTGTATACACAGAACAAATTGTTTATCCTGCAATGCACAGCTTAAAGCAAAAAACAAAAAAAAATATTCTGTGGAAACCCTTTTTAAAATTTAACACCCTGTAACTTAAACATTTTTTGAAAATATAAATTAAATATGTAATACCCTGAAATGTAAATAAAAAATGTTTCCCAAATTCAACTTTCCAAAACATTATACAATGAAGAGTTGTTAATGTTCTATCTAAGAAATTAATTAAAAGCGAAATAAATAAAAAATTCTTCACATTGCTATTACACTCTAAATAGTAATATAGTTTTGCAAGTAAAAAATTTAATAGTTACTTTCATTAACATATACAGGGTGCTCAGTTTAATAAGTGTGCAGGCAATTAATACCATATGTAAAAACAAATGAAGTTAAAATGGTTTTAATTTAAATCCTAAAAAAGTATCCTGGATATTATATTTTCTTCCAAAATTGCAAATTTTATGCCTGTTTTTTAAGTGTAAATTTTTGTAAAATTATATTTGACATTTTTTTATCTGAAATCTAATAACACCATGTGTATACACCCCCTGGAAAGTTGAATTGCGATTTTTTTTAAATATAATTTTTTATTCGATAGAAAATGTGAAAACTATTAATATAAAATTGAATTTTTCCCTCATTTTTTGACGTTACTTCTGAAACAAAATGTGTAAAAAAGTACGAAATTACTTAAATACATAAAAACATAAGAATTATTACACTTAAAATTTTTTATATAGAGGCATTTTAAGATGGTGTAGATTAATCCTATTAGATTTTGAATAAAAAATTCTCAAAAAATTAAAACAATTCTGCAAAAATCACCCTAAAAAAATAGGAAAGGTGATTTGCGATTCTGAAAAAGTTATAGTTTCTCTGAATATGCACCTCCTTAGAGTCTATTAAAAACATATTTGAACTTAATTTATTTTTTACATATTGTGTTAATGGCTTGCAACCCATAAATCGGACACTCTGTATATCTTAAATGAACTTATGCCCAAGCACATAATTTAACCCACATAGTATGAATTTATTTCATATTTGAAGCAACATTTAATTGATATGACATGAAGTTATTTTTCAAAGCTATATTAAGAGACACAGCATCAGTGAGTCTTAGGGGTACTCAAATGTGTGGTTTCACTACGCTTAGGAGGAGGTGGTGGAGGCCTCTTTGTCTTGAACTCTCCCGACCTAACCTCACTTCTGGTGTGTACTGGACTGGTAGCATATTCCACGACACCATCTGGGTTATCCCTATAGACATTTTCGTACAAATTATTCGGACCATAGTGTTCCTGCACCCAATTTGAGACGTTATGTTCTTTATAATCCGGTAGAAGTGTCGGTGGATCTCGGAATCCTAGAACTTCGTGAGGAGTCGTATCGGGCTCCAGTTTACACTTTTGTGCAACCTGCCATTTTTTCCTCATAACTCTCTGCAAATCTTTCAGGAAATCAGATGGAGGATCTGCGAGTTTTTTAGGACTTGACAGTTTTGTAGTTTCCGATCTCTTAGGTGGTTGAGGTTTTTTTGGCAGTGGTGGGACCTCCTGAGGTACTAAGTTGAAACTAATTTTTTTATTGCTCTTTTTAGGGCTCGACGGTTCTTGAAAATTAACTTTCCTTTGCAAACCAGGCGAGTTTTGCATATTTTTTGCTTGCAGTTCGGGAATGTAAGCCGTGTTACCATAAACGGAACTATTTCCAGACGATCCTGAACTGTTTGTAGATGCTATACTATTAGAAGATATTTGACGAGGTAAGGAGCTTTGCCTAAGTGAAGATCTCAGTCCCATGTTATTGTTGAAAGCTGATGACCCTGGCAGTGTACTAGCTTGTCTATATTGTGGGGGATTGACATATGGAGGTGCCGCAGGGAATCCATTAGTATTATTGACAGGGTCCATACTATTTCTATCGTGATTTTGTGCTGCAGACCCATAAATGTGATTATTTTGAGCATAGTTAACTCTGTGTGTGGGACTAAAGCTAACCGGAGGATTATTTTGGGTGGGAGTGCTACAGTTCGATCCCACATTGGACAGTGGTGGACTACATATGGGGGTGTTTAATCTTGAATGAGTTGGGGTTAAGTCGGGTGACATGCCAACTGTTGGAGTCTTCTCTGGACTTAAAACATTTGTTGGTGTAACACTCCCTTTGCGCTTCCTGATGGTTCCTGTGTCATTTTCGCCTGGGGGAGGTGGTAGAGACATAAGTGATAATTGGCTGCCGGTGAGTTCTGCTCCAGTCATCGGAGGTAAATCGCTGGGATTTGGAGGAGGGGGAAGACTATCCAGTGAAAGGTTGGAGTTGTAAATTTCTGGCGGGGGTGGTGGCAACTGATAGTTTGGAGAATCGTTGACAATAACCTCACCATTTGTCTCTGGTGGTGGAGGCAGTGAAGTTATGGAGTCCGTCTGGAATTAAAAAGGTCAATTAATATGACTTACAGTAATGAATGATAGAACTAATTAAATAAGGGGTAGTTAATTCTTGTCTATTTTGCACGGATAATGTGGCAAAATTGTTGATATTTCTTTAAAGAATTCGCTGACCTCAGTACATTTATAATACACGCGGCTGTTTGTATTATTACTTATTGTTTCAAAACACTAATGTGAGATAAAATAAAAATAAATAGTTGTAAATTAACATTTGTTAGACAAAAAAATTAAGGGAGCAACTGAGGGTTGCTTTCGCTGTACAGCAAGAAATAAACGCTCTCTCAGCGGTAATAATAAAGAATTTTATTGAAAACTGGTGTACAGAAAACTTGTGTATGGAAAGACGTGTTAACAGGGTGAGTGTTCGTTGGAGAGTAGTTGGAGAGTGCCTTGTGGTTGAAGTCGGTCGTATATCGGGTACGCGTCTGGTGGCCGGNTGATATTTCTTTAAAGAATTCGCTGACCTCAATACACGCGGCTGTTTGTATTATTACTTATTGTTTCAAAACACTAATGTGAGATAAAATAAAAATAAATAGTTGTAAATTAACATTTGTTAGACAAAAAAATTAAGGGAGCAACTGAGGGTTGCTTTCGCTGTACAGCAAGAAATAAACGCTCTCTCAGCGGTAATAATAAAGAATTTTATTGAAAACTGGTGTACAGAAAACTTGTGTATGGAAAGACGTGTTAACAGGGTGAGTGTTCGTTGGAGAGTAGTTGGAGAGTAGTTGGAGAGTGCCTTGTGGTTGAAGTCGGTCGTATATCGGGTACGCGTCTGGTGGCCGGCATCAGCAGCCCTTCTTGGAACGCTGGTTCGTCCGGCGGCGTCCTGCGGCGCTCTTGACGTTGTGCTTTCTAATATGGGTCACTTGCAAACATGTGTACCCACACAACTAAATATGACGATTATATATATTTATTTGTGTTTCCTAATTACAATACATATTTTTTCGGGATCGTCAAAACATTTTGATTGAATGTTTAACACTAGTGTACTTTCTAAAAATCATGTAACAATCCTCAAAGCAGTATTGAAATATCAGGGAAATATTTTTAACTAATGATATGTGGGAACCAATGAATCTGATGGGGACTAGTCTTGTCCAGAGTCAAATTATATTTGCAATATTTAGTGAAGAACTAAAATCATTTGTCAGTAGAATCACCCGACGGGTTTTGAACTCAGTATACCATTGTATCTACAGAATAGTAAGTCGGTCTCTAATAGAATATACAACGCAATGCTTTATATCAGTATTGAATAAGCCACAATTAAGATATAAAATACTTTGCTTGTTATATCTCCTGCAGTATTGTTTTTATTTTCATCAAGACACTGTTCAAATAAAACAATATTTAATTTAATTTAATTCAATTACCTAGCTTGGTTATAATAGCTCAAGATTTACCATTTCACTGATGGCTGATGTAACATTTCATTCTCTGAAGTTACAATATTTACTTATAGAATAGCATATAGAATTATTTTGTTTATTTTATTAATTTCATTGTTATTTTTATCTAACAAAAAATCTCATTATGAAAAAACAACCAAATAAAAAACACGTGACGAATCACTTGGTCTGTTTAAAAAAATAATCAATTTTCACATTCAAAACCAGTGCCGTTTCATATTAAATAAGTTTCTAATTTAATTAAAAACAAATGGCAATTGTAATTCTGAAAATGATAGTTGAAAGTTTTTTTAATCTTCAATTTTTTTTATTCAATGACAGGTTCATAAAAACAAGTTTTGGCTTTTGAAGCATAATTAATTGCTTGCTTTAATTATTAATTTAACAATTTCTTCGACGTGGTAATATACTCAAATAAATAAAAAGTATATGTTTTGTTAAATTAACCAATTGTTAGGTAACTTTAACCTTAGTTACTAACCAAAATGTCCACTAACCTTGTGCCAACACTGAAAACTTGTCTGATAGCATATAGCTTACAAAACCAGTGATAAAGTGTACCTAAATAATATTTTTTTTTACTTTATTATAATAATTGTCTATGTGTTTGAATTTGACTCATGGGTAAAACCTTCAGCTCTGAATAACATTGCTTAATCAAATGTTTCCCAATCGCTTAGAGGAAAGAGTGCTTCTTTCTGCTCAATTTTAATAATAAATAAAACGATAAGCGTGTATAATGACTGCTTCCAAATTTGGGCAAATATATTTATTCCAACTTACCATACACGAAGGCATATCCATATTACTAGGGGGCGAAATAGGTGTCCTGACAGATCCAGCACTAGGGGGCCTCTCACTGAAGGGAGAAGCTCGTTCTCTCACAGGCGTACTACATAGTGGTGTAGACGTACCACTTCTCCCACCCATTGACTCTAAGGAACCTCTTGATTTGTATGAGTGCTGTCTCTTCAGCGTGCCTGTGCTTGACGAATCGTCTGTTGAATTACTGGTCTTCCTTCGACTATGACGTCTCGTTAAGGTACCCGAATTTGTGTATGACACAGGACTGGAAGCCAGAGGAGTACCTTCAGAGTCATCACGTGTTTCTCCAACTTCTTTTAGTTGACGAGTTATATTAGTGAGTGGCAGACTAGGTTTCATTGAAGGCTTGCGCTTTATTGTACCTAGAAGTAAAAATTTCGTTAATATTCATATAGTTGATCATAAAAATTTACAGGGAATAAGTAAAAAGTATTTAGTTTGTCTTTAGTTTAATAATACAGCAGAATTTGATTTCGTACTGATTTTACTGTTCCTTGGGACATTATTAACTGCACAGGATGATTTAGTTTCAAAGGAACACGCTTTAAGTACCTATCAATAGAGTACTTTGAAAAATAAATGTTAGATGTGATTTTAAAATTTGTAGCTTATGTGAAACAGGATATGAAAAATTACATAATTATTATAAGCAAATTTTGAATACGTGAACGTCATTTGTGAAAGTAGAAAATTAATTTTTGCCCCACAAAAAGTGTTTCCACGCATGGTGGGTGTCTACAAAATGGCAACAAAATATCAAAAGCAGTCTCAATGAACTTGGGGAAAATACTTGCTGTAAAATAAATGGGGATTTTAAAAATAATTTTAGTTTTTAGAAAAAGCAGTGGCGTACCATTTTTTTCTTCAAAAATGTTTAGTTCAAACCTCGTACGGACGTCATTGGCAAAGATTTTAAAACATTTTTTACATCAAACAATGCTCCTTAATGATTATTGTGTGTACAAAATTTCATAAAAATATCTGGAGTGATAAGAAAATTATAATAAAAAAGTAAATTTTTTCTTAAAACTGTAGCTCAAAAATTAAGAGGTTTAGGACATATGTTGATTTTAAGTTTTCTTCTTAAAATGACCCAAGGATTCACACCCTTAAGTATCGGCATTGAATTAATAAACACCCTGTATAAGAAATAAGATGTGGGACCTTTACCATTTTTTACGGGATGATTTTTTTCCATGCCCACAGAGATTTTAGTGATGAAAAAATTTCGAATGAATTTGCGAGGGAAAAAAAATTAAAATAGAGGTGGCTGACCCTGAGATTTCGAATAGGGTCGCACATATATTTGCAAAATATTTTTTTTGTGGAGATGCAAACAAACGTTTTTTTATTTTGCAAAATTAATTTTTCTTCATGGTGATTTTTATTTAAATTTTAAAATTTATATTCATATTTCACTTATCAATCTTCATATTGCTGTAACTTTAAAAAAAATTAAAATTTTGTAACACTTTTCAAGATTTCAGGGTGGGCCACTCGCTTTAATTTATTTTTTCTCTATGGGCCTAGAATTAATTCACTAAAAAACAATATGGGTCCTACTCTTCATTATAAAAATATGATCACTTCAATTCCCACAAACCGTCACTGCTATTTTGGCACAAATTATAAATTTGTTAAGATGACAAGTTAAAATTAACAATTATTTAGATGATCTTGCTAGTTAAACAAAATATCATCGTCGTGGCTAAATGCACTATTCAATTTCAAAAATAATAAAAATGCTATTGCAATGGCATATCATAATTCTTGTTTACCCTTCATCTCAAAAATGAGACTTCTAAGGGCAAATATAAAAAAAATATATTTTTGGCACTAACTTGAAATAACAGATATGGATAATTGCTACCCTAATGCCATAATCTTTTAGAAAGTAGCATGCGCTAATAGACATGTGTTAGCAGTAGCAGTAGCAGTAGATAATTGCTACCCTAATGCCATAATCTTTTAGAAAGTAGCATGCGCTAATAGACATGTGTTAATTATGTAATGAATGAATAATAGTATTTTATCTGTTTTCACTCGAGATATTCCAAACAATATATACGATGACACTGATGGCGATATCTATATAGAAGCATCTAAGATTAAGCTACCAATGAAGATTCAGGTGATGAAGATACTGGTGGGTAAGTTTTATCAGAGGTTTTACTTTTTTTAAATCTATTAAATAAATTCTACAAATAATGTCATATAGGTTGCTTGATACTCTTACATCTTGACAACTGCAAGTAAGTGCTAAGATATGATTAGTGGATAATAAGAGAATTGCTGTGAAGTACAATGATATCGAATCGGAAATTCATGTGTTTTACCACACAATATTATTTCTAAAGAAATAAAGGAGCTAAGCGAAGAGATCGAAATAAAGAATCCTCGATAGATAGAGGCGGCAGACTTTGAGATTATTCCAAATATGAGGAACCTTCTACTATCAATAAGTTTAAGCCATTTGTAGACAATGAGATTATCCAACACCTGGCATATGAGACTGAATTGAACAGATCAAATAGATCAAAATTTAAGTCGTTACAATATTGAAGAAATGGTCTGGGCCAAACTGGTTCCTTAATGTTGCTGGATTTATATAACAAAGGATGACCAAACGTTTCAAAGCATTGTCTGAGGAGCGGTTCCATACATCAGGGCAGGTCTAGGGGTTCTGGGGTCCGCGCCACAGAGCCTAGCCCGAGAACAGTAAGGGCAAGTTAAAGATTCCTAGCTAATGAAGTGCAATGTAAGTTTGTAACTGGCATCGACAAGGTACATAGGCCACGGAATAACAACCCCATTGTAGTTTAAATATCAGCATGGGCCTTAAAAACCTTAAAATCACTATTTGAGTTACTATTTTTTAAGTTTAAAATAAGCTTATCATTTGAATTCATTGAGAGTACCTCAAAAATTACTAATTTACATATTTATTAAATTTGCTAAAAATCAGTAACAAATTACATGAAAGCAAATTTAAAATTTGGTGAAAATAATTCACACTTGCAAATATTCGGAGCATCCCTAGTCAGGTCATTTTGTCATTCAGTAATTTCTGTTCATTTCAGTCATTTTGAAGATGTTAGTCTTCAAACAATTTTGATCAAACAAATTTGACGAAAATTTGATGGTGTGACATAGGCCATACGTGCAATGTTTGATATCTTACCCATTGGAAATTCGGAGTCAAAAGCATTCTCACAACTTGATGGAGCACCATCAGACATACAACCACTTGAACTTGAACTACTTGCTCTACTGTGTCTTCCAGAACTAAGTTCTGTGGAAGCAGAATATGTTTCACTTTGGGTTCCATAACCAGCTTCACTACCAGGATAACTGTAATAAAATATTAGATAAATAAAACGTTACATTTCTATGTTTCCTTGCTTACCCTTGGGTTGGTGTTGTTACATTTGACTGCATTAACTGCAGGGATTGAACTGCTATAGAACTAACAGAACAACTTCTTGCATGTGCCAAAATATCCAGATCTTCTTGAGCTAATTCATCCATAAGACTTCTATAATTGTCCATTAACTGCTTGCCAAATTTTGCTACTCTCATTCCTACCATCCACCTTTCTAAAGAATTGTGATCCTCTGCACACAAGTACTTAATATACTTTGTGGACTTTGGTTCTTGCAGTCGTGGGTGCTTTATTGCAAAGCAAAAGTCTGTGGGTGCTTTATACTTCTTCTTCCATCCCAGACCATAATAAATCTTAGAAAAGAAAATTATTTATATAATCTCAGTATGGAAACTTACTAAAGTTAAACAAAATCATGAATTTGATACTATGAATTAATGTCAACTTGAACAATTTTCAAGTACTTTTTTAATAGCAAGATCTTTAGAAAATAACATTTTTTTCCCATAAATTAATTACCTGATTATTATCAAAAGTGGCCAAACATATTAAATCTTTCGCAGATTTTACTTTATCCTTAGGAAAATAGTACAGTCCTGAAGCTCTAAGAACGAAATGATATTTCTTCCATCCTTTTTTAGAATCTGCTTTAAGATACAATGGTCCCTCCACTTCTGGTAAACTAGTTGTAGAGAAGAAATCTTCTAAGAGCATATTTCTTGAATGTTCATCGAAATCATTATTCTCTTTCTTGTCTGTGACTGAGAGTAAAAATTTCTCTGGTTGCAAAAATAACTTTATTTTGTCTTCTCTCTCCACAAAGTATATTTTATTTTTTGAATCTCTTGTCCACAACAACAAATTGTCTACCAGTAACTCATGGTCTTCATAGAAGCGTTCTGCAAATGATATTAACAATTTTTTATTTATTTACATAATTCATAAAACTGTTAGATTAAATTTATTCTCCAATAAAAATGAAAAGCAATACTTTATATTCACATCAAGATATGCTGATACTGCAAAATAACCTGATATGAATATAAAAGATATATTTAAGTAATGAAATTATTTTGTTACTATGTATGTTCTATCGAGCTGTAACGTTATAAAAATATTTACTTATATAAATTTTCTTAACAATTTTGAAATATTGATCAACTTACCCATGTATAAATCAGGTAAATGTTCTACAATAGCCCATTTTGGATCCATTTGCACATGATTTTTATCTGCCAACAGTCTTGTAACATAAGAACACAACATTTTTTCATCAACCAGTAGAGACTTAGCTGAACCATCAGTGGTGAAAACTTTCAAAAACAGCTTCTGTATATTGGCTTCTTTGATTTTCTCCATTGCCATTCTGATTTTTTCGGCTTTAAGTCTAGATGCGTCATCCTAATAAAAGGAAACATTTTTTTTACAATAATGAATAGCAACTTTTTAACCAATCATACCAATTTTACCAAAGCAAACGGTACTTATGTAGATAAATACGTAGATTCAAAAATAAATAAAAAATAAGCTTGGGTCGTAGGTACTTGTGGTTACAAATCTCTTGACACAATTAAATAATATCAACAGTAATGAATGCCAAGGCAGGAATTCCATTTCTTTCTGATAATATTTTTAACTAGTTCAACTGATAATGAGTATTCCATAGTACATTGTTGCTAATAAAAATATCAATAAAGTTTATAAACTTTAAACACAACAATAACATATTTGTGGAAGTATAAAAATCTTAGCGTGTGAAGAACAACATATTTGTTTTAGGAAATATTACTGATCTGTTTAAATGAATAATAATTTGCGATAATAGTTATCAATACAAATAAAGGGTACAGCAATAATGTTGTGACAAACTTTCAGAACTGATTTCATTTATCAAACCAAAAAACAAAACAATACGTATGATAACATATTTTCCTAAACTGATCCCCAAGAAGGAATGTGACAAAATTTTGTATAATTACTCAAGAACCACCAATAAAGAAAAATGTAGTACAAGCTACTTTACAAAATTTGAACTAGAATTAACCATTGGTATTGGTCAAAAAAATGATCTAATGTTGTGTACCTAGATTAAAAGGGCAAAGTTAATAAAAAAAACATATAAGCTACTCCCAAGAGGAACCGACTCCTCAGTTTTTTTTTTAAGTATAAACGGGACACCCTGTATACGTTTTAAATTGAACATTGATATTAAATACATAGGCATTTGTATAAATAAATTAGGTAAGAAATAAATAAAAATATTATAGTCCGCAACAATAGGAAAATTTGTATATTTTCTGTCTGCATGTTATAAAACAATAAATTCAATTTATGATTTTTTTGTTAATTAGGAAAAATACATTAAATTAGAATTGATTTTCAATACAAATTTGAAAATGAACTTGAAACAATGGCGACGGTAATGGTAATCATACCTGTTGCAAATTTTGGAGATGTAGAATTTGAGGTTTTGCACTGCTTCCCCCACTACTGGCGGACGATTCGCTGGAAAGCATGGAGACGGTATCGCTGAAAGCGGAGTCATTGTCGGGGGATTCTGTTCGAACTGAATCGCTTTTTAACATCAAATTATCCTCCGGATCTAATTTTAGTCTTGAGGCTTCCGAGGAGGATCTGCTGTGTGTTCGGGATTCATGCTGTGACATCTTTTGGACATCTGAAGGGAGCAAACGTATTTTATATCTAGTTTCTCAATTTGTGATAATGGCGATGGATCAGTAAACACAATGAAATAGAGAAATAATCTTAGTTTAATCTTTAATTTTTATATATTCTTTAGATTTAAACATATAAAGAATACCTCATATAGGTTTCAGTAATAGCTTTGACTATTATAGTCAAGGGTAATAGGTATGTATTATTATACATTTCTCATTTTAGTTTGATTTACTATGTAGGTAGCCTTTACAACCACCACAATATAAAAGAAATATTAACAATACATTAATAATAATTAACAATTAGAGAAGTAGATTAATAATGATAATAAAAAAAATAAACTAAAATAACAGGAAATAATCGTATCAAAAATATAATACACTAATTTTACAATGCTTTAGATTACACTTCAAGGAACAATTAAATGTGTCTGAATAATTTTCGTTAATAATAATTTTTTATGTGACCTGCTAATTAAAACAATTTCCTTTTTTTTTCAAATAACTTAGAAACGCCTTTTAAGATTTATTGGAAAATGGTACACTAATACTTCCATACAGATGTTACTTATTAACAGAACTGAAAAATATCTTCTCTCTATCAACGGAAATAGAGTGATTAATGGAAATGGGCGATTTAAAAAAAAAACATTTATATCTAAAACTAATCAAGTTAGCCAAGATCTTTTAGTACCAGCAAAGTAAACTCAAAAGAAAAGGACGGGACATCTATATCAGATTTTTTGTATCTATCACCGTTTTGGCTGTATCCTATAAAACTATCGAAAATCACCAACCCTGTACATGGAATATTGGGAGACTCTGTATAAATAGGAATATTTAAAAAAATTTTGGTATAAAATACAATACATCTTCTTCTTCTACTTTGAAGATATACTATTTTATTACGGAAAACATTGTTTCCATAAACCGTATTGCGAACGGTACATTTTCATATGGCTTGTGGCCGTTAGAAAATGCATAAAAGTCCATATTGTATAATTCTGACTTGGTATTTTTTATGAATTTTTTTAGATTATTCGAATGATACTTACAAAAATAGGTACTACTTGAGGCATATTTTGGATAGATAGATTTTGGATAATTCATCTCAAAATAGTTCATGTACTGCGATATTAGGTGTATTGCATATACATATATTATGTACATTGTATATTTTATCAAAAATCCCCAGGTATACCGATTTTTTTAACAGAAAATAATTCTATAATTATTTTCTTCTATAAGAATTTATCAAGGTTACTTGGGCACTATTAACATACATATATAATCGACATAAGTATTTAAAGAAAACTTATTTCTTTATCTTGTAATGTAATGTTGTATATATGTGTATATACATATATGTATATTTTATCAAAGATTCAGTATTTACTACGATAGTTCTGTTCTATAGTAGCAAACAAAAGAATCGGCAAAATAAACTCAACCTATATAGCTATAGGTAACTAGTTTACTGTTTAACTGCATTTTTATTTTTCTTTTAGATAATTCTGCCGCAACTGACGGGCTCCACTATGCTGACCTAGTAAAAAGTAACTATTACTGAACTTACGTCAATACGTTAAGAACATTTTCACAGAGTTGCATTTGAATAACACCTTTTTAAATTTCAAGGCGAGGTAAATATGTTGTCTATATCGAGGTCGAAAATAAATTCACAACGCTTTTACCAATAAATCTTAAGACAATCTAGGGAAATTTGTAGAAAACTGCAAAATGGGTGAAATCTAAGGACTGCCCTACAAATATTTAAATAGTTGCTAGATATACAGACTGGTAATTTTTTGTCAAGTAAAATAATTCATAGCCATTTTAAAAAAATGTTATATCTCGGAAATTATGAAAGCCATTGCGTGAGGTATAGAAAATCTTTTAAAATTGATTTTGTCATACAAAATGTAAATGTAATAACCATGGGCGTACGTATGAAAAAGTTATGAGGTGGTTATGATGGTGGAGCTCCAAAAAATACCACGTTGAAAATAATTTTCTGAAATATACAATAAATAGGTATGATACATTGAAGTAAATAAAGACGTGCATCAAATTAAGAAATATCAAACTAAAACAGTTTTAGCTGCTGTTGTTTCATGGTAATATATCCATCGGACTATATCTTATTGTTAGTAAGAATTGAATTTTTGTATACAGGGTGGTCCGAATTTTATGCAGGAAACTTCGAAAGCAGATAGATATTTTTAAAATAATAGGCACAGACAATATAGCGTATCGCTACAGACTGTTACTTAAATGCTGGAAATTGGCAATCCGAAATGGAAGCAGGGTCTCCTTAGCCGGCTTCCAGCTATAAAATTTAGCGTAGTAACTCTTCTACTTGCTAATAGGCGGCAGTTCCAGCGGTGGCTTTGTTGCCAAATAATAACTGCTAAATAAATTTAATGCTTTCAATTATGTAATTAAAGAGATATGGAACTTATCACTTATCTTGTGTTTGGAAATCACATTTGCCTTAAATATTAAATAAAATAAATCAAGTTAGAATTAAAACTATGAATTTACGGAATTAATTATTTATTTTATATCACCTTGGAATGGGAAAATTCAAAAACTCGAAGGTAATGTTTTTAGATTTGTGCGTCGACTTCCAATATGGTACGATATCACAACCTATGTTTAAAAAAATTGCATTATACAGATTGTGTATCCTTAAATGGGTACTGCCTCTTATTGTTGATTTCTTTAGATAGGTAAATAATTATTTATTGGCACAAGTGTTGCATATTATGGATGTCATTGGTAGTGCCCATATTTGTGACACAAGGTGTTCAAAAAAATTAACACAATGTAAAATTGCTGGAACCTCAAGGAGTAGTTGAATACGAAATTTATTAAAAAAAAAAACAACAAATNGTAAGAAAATTTCACAATGAAGTGTTAAAAAATATCGACAAAAATATAAAGATATTAAAATTTTTTGATTGTTTTGAAGAGACAGTAGGCTTTGTATGTTAATTCAAAAAGGATAACAAATGTCATTTTATATGCACGGTGTCAAAGTGAAAAGTTTAGTGTTTTTTTACGAAAAATGTCTCGTTTTGGAGAAGAAAACCAGGACATAATAAAAAAAGAAATTCAACATCTGATGCCAGATAATACCAAAAAATCAAAGATAAGCATTTGGAAGCAGTTTCTAGAATTTTGCAATGAAAAATCTTATAATATACAGGAAAAGCTACCTGTTGAAGAACTGGCAAGTATTCTAGAAGATTATTCATTTAATATGAGAAAAAAAATTCACTTTAGTTACACAAAATAATAAAAAATAAGTTGATAGTAGTTCAATCTTTCAGTTTTCTAAAAATTTAGTGTACTAAAGTTGGTAAAAATATATTTTATTGCAAAAAAAACTTGAAGCAGTATATATAATCAAAGTAACTTACATACATATAACATTAGGTTAAATAAAATACAACTAACCGACTTTAGTTAAGCAAAATAATGAAAAATAAATCGATAGTAGATCAATCCCTCAGTTTGAAAACTGCTGGCCTATTCCAGGAGCGGTCTGTGGCGATAGCTATTTTGTCTGTGTAATAGGTGTTTGCCTTATAAACATAGGTCTGGGTGTTGAAGTTGTTAAAAAAAATATTTTTTGTTTATATCTCCGGAATCCATCGACCGATTTCAATAAAATTTAGTACAGATAATGTATGACAGTAGGCCTTGTATTCCTTAAAATACGAGCACTAAAGATTCGACCAGTGATGTATAACTGGACAGGATCACCCACTTTTTTATAAAAAAAAAAACGTACGCCACTGTATTTTTTACAAGCTATTGTAACGAATTTATATTCTAATGAACAAAATAGGTAAAAAAGGTAACTTGAATTTTTTCCCTAAAGTTCACCGTTCCCAAGTTATTCATATCAATACAATTCCCTTGTGGCAGACACTTTTAACCATAATATTACAAGAATATTTATGTTTATGCTTAAAAGTAAGAGCAATTTGTAAGCACATCAACAAAATTCTTTCCACATCACTTGTGAGGTAGTGTTCCTGGTGTGTTTTAGTTTTCCCTGGAGGCATTATCTTTACAAATAAGAACAATTTAAATCAAAATAATAATAAAAATACATTTACCAAGCTACAACAACTAAACCAGAAACAAAATTAACGTTACGTATTTACAGCATTTGTTTAAAATGCGAACGACCCACATTGATACATTTCTGACATCTATTAACGGAACTAATTGAAGCTAATATCATGTGGTGGTTTTCTTTTAATTCATTATACTCGTCTTCTATTCGCTGCAGCAGTTGTGGTCTAGTATCTATTGGAGTAGAGTAAACTTTTCAGGTAGGTCACCCCAAACATAGAAGTCCAGGGAGTTTAGATCTGGCAATCTGGCTGGCCAAGACACTGGACCCTCTGCACCATTATGGTTGACATTGGCATTTGGTCTTCTACCTATCCATCCTCTCATATAATTTTCATTAAGCCATTCTAGTATTATTTTCCTAAAGTGCGCAGGAGCACCATCCATTTGTATCTAGCTATTTTGTCGCTGAATGGAACATCCTCTAATAGTTCAAATAGATGGTTTTCTAGAAAATTTAGAAATGACTCCGAATTTCATGAGGATTTTCTTGTGACCAAATATCCAGATTGCGAAAATTCACTACCCCTCGCCTTGTGAACGTAGCCTCATCAAGTATTTCTAGTAAGAATTCAAACAACCACTGATAAAAATTCAGGAGTCTCTCTGCATCACCCGGAAGTAAATTTTGCACAGGTTGTAAATGGTACGGATTTCTGCCATCCTTACGTAGAACTTTTCAAATTTGCGATTTACTCACCCCAAGTTGCCGAGACGTTCTTCGTGTACTTAGCTGAGGATCGTCGTCAAATCCTTTTAAAATTTCATTTCTGTGCCTTTCATTCCTTTGTCGTGATTTTCCAAATATTGTTTTAATCCGAAAAGATGAAAGCGATGAGTGCAAAGAATTTTGTTGATGTGCTTACAAATTGCACTTACTTTTAAGCATAAACATAAATATTCTTGTAATATTATGGTTAAAAGTGTCTGCCACAAGGGAATTGTATTGGTATGAATAGCTTGAGAACGGTGAACTTTAAGGAAAAAATTCAAGTTACCTTTTTTACGTATTTTGTGCATTAGAATATAAATTTGTTACAATAGCTTGTAAAAAATACACTGGCGTAGGTTTTTTTTATAAAAAAGGGGTTGACCCTTTCCAGTTATACACCACTGGTTGAATCTTTAGTTATCATATTTTAGGGAATACAAGGCCTACTATCATACATTATCTGTACTAAATTTTATTGAAATCGGTCGATGGATTCCGGAGATATAAACAAAAAATATTTTATTTTTAACAACTCCAACACCCTGTATCTCTAAAACGAGGCCGTTCCAGAACTATGCTTATAAGGCAAACACCTATTATTTTAAAAATATCTATCTGCTCTCGAAGTTTCCTGCATAAAATTCGGACCACCCTGTATTGTATGTGGCCTGTAACATGACCTTTATGGGCACTCTATATTAAGTATACCGGGTGATTTTTTTACGTGAAACTTTCAAATGTCTCGAGAAATAAGCACACTATGAAAAAAATGTCCATAATCATAATTTAATCGTTCCACAGAGGAAATATATTAGTGCCAAAATTAGTCCGCCTCTCCCCCTCCTTACAGGTGGTGTGGGGGATAACGTTGAAATATTAAATATGCAACCCTATTTTTATTGCAGATTCGGATTCTACTGCTAAAAGTACGTAGGATTGGTCCGAAACAATATTTTTGATTCATGATAGATTGCGTTATAATTCGAAATTTAATTTTTTTCATTTTCTCTTTCTTACAACCTGTGCATACGATTTTGCAGTACGTTTGCAATAAAAAATACACCACGTCATTATAATAATTACTTAATCAATTGAGTTTAGAAATACGACAGAACATGTAGTCGTCCAGTACACTATTCGGTGGTAGCATATCACGTGAAGTATTTGAACGTGATTTTAATGGTCGCTGGATTGATTGAGCTGGTCTGGTAAATTGGCCTGCTAGATCACCAGATCTTACTTCGCCAAATTTCTTTTTGTGGGACTACCTCAAAGACAAAGTTTACAAACAAAAACCAACGACACGTGAGAATATGATTGAGTGAATCAGAAATGTTTGTGCCGAAATCAAGCAGACACACTTCTCAGTTGTATATTGAAATGCGGATTAATAAGTACATATAAGTTGAAGGCTATCATTTTGAGCACCTACTTTAATTGAAAGATGATGAGGCGAAGAGACTCATGTAAATCATGAGCTCTGATAAGTGAGATGCGAAGGGACTCACATAAATCAATTACCAGCCACTTACATTTCTACAGGTATCACTTTACCAGTTATTCGAAATTTGCAAAATGAATAAACTTTTTCGACGACAAATTTCGAATATTTACATAAAACGTCATCTACGATGAATAAAAAAATCATAAGTACTTTTAGCAATAGAATAATCTGCAATAAAAAATAGTGGTTCGTTCCTATTTAAAATTTCTGTTACCCGCCGCTTAACCTACAAGAAATGGGGAGGTATAATAATTTTGATTATCGAAATAATTTCGTACAGTACTTATTTCCTGAAATATGTGAAAATTTCAGGTCAAAAGGTCACACGGTATACTAATTTTTTTAACGGAAAATAATTCTATAATTATTTTCTTCTATAAGGATTTACTTGGTTAGGTTACTTGGGGCGCTATTAATATACAGGGTGATTCACAACTTATCCAAAAAAATTTGGGAATAGATGCGGCATGAGAAATGGAGTCAATATTGTAAAAAAAAAATGTTTGTAAAATCCTTAGTTTCTGAGAAAAAATTATTGAAGTTATAGCACATTAAACCTCTCCATAGCTGGGCAACTGTAGCCTCTAGCGTCATTCGCAATACGCGTGGAGAGCCATGTGACTCCTAATACTGAAATCCGTCATTGCGGTAGTTTTTAACTGTTATCTGTGGTATTACATAAGTTTTTTAGTAGTTAGTGTCAAAAATGGCTTGCGTGTATAGCAACTCAGAGTTGATGGATATCGTTTTAATTTATGGTAAAGCAAGACAACATTTGTATTATGGTGAAGTATTTGTGTTATGGTGAAGCAAGACATCATTTGTGTTAGTTCGTAGATAGTGAGTAAGACGGACCCAAAAGTGTTTACACGTGAGTGGATAAAATTTTGAACAATTGCTGTTGCAGCATTGGGTATGTCAAATGATTTTATTATTTAAAAACACAAATTAATTTTATTAATAATTAATACAGGCAAAAGCATTTGAATTTGCCGATATAAAATAGGTGCGATAAAATTCTATTTACATATATTTCTTTCCTTGCAAAAGTTTTTGTCCGTTTTTATCACGCCGCGATACCGGTCGCATTGTGCGAGGTCAGGTTTTACAGTGGACCAGTTTCCAGTGTCGTGCAGAAGTGTATTTTTAAATCAATTTCGAACTGACCTTTTTGATTTTTTCTTTACAAAATTGTATTTGTAAGGGTCCCCTGTACAACCAGAATTTTTTTTGGATAAGTTCTGAATCACCCTGTATAATCGACATAAGCATTTAAGGAAAACTCATTTCTTTATTTTTAAAAATGTTGTGTTTGTAAAATTTCCTGCACCTCTTTTTTCTATAGTAGATAGTTTTCCATTTGTACACATATTTCTTTCATAAGGTCCATAATTTTAACAAGCCATTGTTATTTGTGTTATTTGTTACTGAAATATTTATTTCGATTAATAAAACGATTTATTACTATAAAAAATATATTTTTTATAACGAAATACATTGTTTCTTGTTATTTAAATAACAAGTTAATTCATAAATTTCACTACATGTATAAATTGCAGTACACGAATACTACGATGGAGTACACGATTTGTTATATCTGAGTACTCTCCACATTATTGATTTTTGTTCATGTTGTATCATATCGAGAGAGATTAATGCGTACGATAACCAGTAATTTCGTAATTGCATTTTCTACTATATTCATACACGCATGTTGTATATTAAGTTTATAATGTCTCAATTATTCATTATAAACTTCGATCGATATTAAATACATAACTTGACATTTATTTATTTATTAGCATGTACTGAAACTGATTTATTTATAAAAAATTGAGAGGTTCATGTTCACAAATATAGTTACACACAGGCGTCCTAGTACAAATGTGTTACTTTGAAATAATTATCGGAGAATTCGATTTAAAAAAGAGTTCGATGTATTTAGTTACAAACAAAAGGAAATTATTATTTTCTCATTTTCTGATTTGTTTCGACTGTTACCTACAACAAAAGTTTTCATATTTTAACTTTCACGACCTATTTTATAAAAAAAAACTTTATATAAATAGTGGTGGAGTAACTTTTTGAAGTTTCAGAGCAGCAATTCAATTCAATTTTCAATTTCAATTTTCTGATCTCATTCAAAACCAAACAATTTTAAAACAAATTGCTGGCGCTAGTGATTCAATTCAAATTAGTATGCAGTTTTTCCTGAGTTCTTATATTCGCATTATACAGGGTGTTAATGATACGTTTTGCCAAATTTTAATGGCGTATTCTACCGATGAAAATAATCCAGTTCCCCTACTCCCGCAATAACTACGCCTCTGGAGTGTATTTCGGAATAAGTTATCCATGAAAAAATAGTCCCTACTAAAAAATTGTCATCCCCCTTTTATCACTAAATATTTTTTCCCAGTGAAGTTACAGGAAAAATCATATAAATATTTGAAACTTTTAACACCCTGTATCTCCGTAGAGAAGCGTTCTATCAAAAATTTTTATACGACAAATGCTGATTATTTTCATCGGGAGAATACGCCATTAAAGTTTGGCAACACTTATCATTAACACCCTGTATGCAATAGGGAAAAGTGGGAAAATGACTATGAGAAAATGTAGGTACATATTTTTATGTTTCATAATCTCACAGAAGCTTTATTAGAAAGGAACTTCTATCTATCTTTAAAACGTGAACTTCATCATTATACAGGGTATTTATTAAGTACTTGTACAAACTTTAAAAGGTGAATCTTTGACTAATTTTAATTGCGATATAACAGACTTAGACCATTTACAAGACTAGGACTAAACTACTTCTACAAATAAGTTATTAATATACAATAACTGTTGAAACAAAACAAAACAAAATTTTGACGCTCTGCATCTCAAGAACCAAGCGTTTCGAACCCATGTTCATATGAACTTTTTATCTTAAAATTAGTCGAAGATTCACCCTTTAAAGTTTGCACAAATACTTAATAAACACCTTGTATACTCACTCATATTGTCAATAGTTTCTTGACATAATTATCTTCAATGACACTTTTTCTCTTAAAATTAAATCACCCATCACCTATTTCGGTTTGATGGTATTAGATTGTCCTGTATAAATATGAAAATCAAAATATTTAATCCTACCTGAAAGTCGTTTGCTGTCTCTAGCATGGCCAATTTCTCTATCGCAGACGGTTTCGAGGGCACACAGTTCTCCGAGAATGGCGTCGAGGTCCACATCCTGGGAGTCCTCCAGGTTCGCCATAGAAAAACGATAACTATCTATTCTGGGAGCCGTAATCTCCGAGTTTAACGGCCTCAGGTGAGCCGTAGAGTTGAGCTGGTCCAGCCCCTGAAAACAAGAAAATAGGTTATTGAAATATACGCTCAAATAATTTGGTTACATGGAATCCATTCTTGAATTAATAATAAATTAGTAAAAGCTTTTATTGAGAGTGTACAAAAAATAAATATTACTTTTAATCTACCAAAGTGATAAAAGAACTTGATGTTTGCAATTTCCACGAACATAAATAATTACAATTTGTACCAAATGTGAATTTGATGTCATGTTTCGTTTCTGAGGATGTACTAAAAATCTTTAAAATGTAAAATTAACGCCCTGTTTGTTTTGTAAAATACATTTCTGATCCTATGTCGATAGTATTTTTTTATTAATCATCTATTACACGATTCAAGGCTGCTTTGCAGATTAGATTTGGGATAGCCTGTATGCCAACACATCCGTTTGTACAAATGTCTCTGCAGATGATATTGCCATAAGTCAAAAGTGGGACATATGTACATAGATTATATATTTTTAAATTGATTATTCACCTAAAATGAACAAAAGTCAACGAGAAAAATAAAACAAAATCGCTCAGGAGTTCTACAAAACGATACTTAATTTAAATTAAATTATTATCAATGATATAATTTGATACAATGAAAGCTGTATCAGGAAGTTACACAATTTCTGGTGGTGGCAGATTTGGAAATAAAGAAAGAAATATGAGAACCACAAACTGATCCCAACAATTTGAAACAGGCAAAACCTTTTAAATCTTTTGAGTAACTACATGAAAATATTAAAATTATTTCTAGCAAAACTGGTTACGCTCTGTATGCTACAGAGTGTTTCGAAATTAATTGGGCCAACTTAAAATTTAATGTTCGAAATATTACTAAATACAATAAACCGAACATAACTAGAACTACCAATTTTGCAAAAAATTGATAAAATTGTTTTTATCGCGCTTTTAAAAATAATTTGCTTTGATGTTATCAATAGTTTGAAAACGGCATCCTTTCAGTCATGGTTTTAATTTCCGAAATAAGAAAAAATCGCAAGGAGCCAGGTCTGGCGAGTAAGGAGGTGTCAGGGGAGGACAGTAATCTGATATTTAACACAAAACTGACGATTTGACTAAGCTGAGTGTGCGGGCGCATTGTCATGGTGCAAGAAGCAAGAGTTGTCTCGCCACAACTCTGTTCTCTTTTTTCTGATTTTTTCGCGTAACCGTTGTAAAACGCCTTGATAGTATACAGGATGTCCCAGTGTCAGCATACAAAAATTTACCAGGGGGTAGACCAGATCAAAATAAGATTAAAATGCTTATAAAATATTTTTATGTGATGCACTCTCACTGGCTTACAGGGTGTTGTTTAGAAAAAAATAATAACAACTTTCCGCAATAACTCAAAAACCGTTTCAGTGATTTAAATAGTTTTTGCGTGAAGTGTACATCTATTAAAGGTCGTTAAAACTACATAGTGCTTATTTCGGCCTAGGCCAACTTGTCCTCAAGGTTATATCTTCATAATTTTTGGATATCCTAGTTTTATGTAATTTGATTAAGTTTTCCTGAATCTGCAATCGATTCTGAGCAAAAAATGTGCTCTTGTTTCATACCTCAAAAATAAACCGTTTTCGAGTAAATTGGTAAACTATCGCCTGCATTAATTCGTAGAAAAATGTATGTAAAGATTGTATTTGTTATTTAGTAGGTACCTGTCATTATAAAAAACAAAGTTGTTTACAAGCGTACATGTCAAAATTAATTATGGTACTTGAAGTTACGAGAAATTAAGTTTACAAAACAACAAGATATTAAGTATTATCAAATTTTCCAACAACGGATATGCCGATATGATATTTGTCTACGATTTCTGTCATAGAAATTCATTGGTGGCCTCACGATAGTATCTACGCAGGTTTCCAAACAGAAGGCAACCTTGACAGGATGTATTCCATCGAGTTTTCCAAAGAGTCCGTGAGACCAGGAGTGTTAAAATGGGAAATACCAGAATAAGAGGTAATTTGGAAGATGCAAGCATTTTAGAAGAAAATGTAATAGCTGCTGTTGTTGATGATCCTTCCACCACTATCCGAAGAATATCAACACAAGTAGGTATTCCATGAAGCAGCGTCTGGAGAATTTTAAACCGAGAAGAACTGCACCCATACCACCTACATAAAGTACAAACTTTGCATCCTGGTGATTCCGAAAAAAGGATACAATTTTGCAGGTAGTTCTTAGAAAACATCGATAATGATGAAAATTTCCATCGAAAGATATTGTGGAGCGATGAAACTATCTTTACGGGAAATGCTATAAATAATTTAAAAAATGTTCATGTTTGATCCATTGAAAATGAGCATATGATATGATCCTTCGCGTTTCAAAGAAGGGGAATCTTCAACGGAGTCATTCTGCCTCCTCAAATTGTTGTAGGCCGTTTGAATTCAGAGAGCTACGCGGATTTTTTAGAAAATATTGTTGATGGCATACTAGATGACGTTCCCTCAGCTTTATGAAATCAAATGTACTACCAATAAGATGGAGCACCTACTCGTAACGGAAGATAGGTATCTGCGTGGCTCGTTTTATATTTTCCAGATTGGGAAAAAGGACCTATTATGTGGTCTATCAGGTTCCTTGACCTCAACCCGTTTGATTTTTTTACTGGGGTCATATGAAGCAACTGGTGTATGCCAAACCCAGTAACACGAGAGTCGATTTACTTAAAAAAATTAATAAAAAGGGTTTACAATTTCTTGGTCAAACGACGTCGGTCATGCATTGAAGTAAATGGACAGCATTTCGAGCATTTATTGATATAATTGTTTTCTATTTTTATTTTTAATATTGTCATAATATTAAATAATTCACAGAAATCTTGTTTATTTTCTTCATATTCATTGAGCCGCAGCTACATGGGAACTGTACCTTAACGGTAAAGAACTTTGTTATTTATAATGGTAGGTACCTACTAGATAACAAGAAATAAAATCTTTACATGCATTTTTTTACGAATTAATGCATTCGATACTTTAGACCTAATTTACTCGGAAACGGTTTATTTTGAGCTATGAAACAAGAGTCCATTTTTTGTTCAGAATCGATTGCAGATTCAGGAAAACGTAATCAAATTACATAAAACTAGGATATGCAAAAGTTATGAAGACATAACCTTGAGGACAAGTTGGCCTAGGCTGCCCCTGGCCTCAAATCGAAATAAACACCATGTGATGACCTTTAATAGATGTACACTTCAACCAAAAATTACTTAAATCCCTGAACGGGTTTTTGAGTTATTGCGGAAAGTTGTTATTATACTTTATAAGAATTTTAACCTTCTTTTGGTCTGGTCTAATTCGTGGTAAATTTTTGTACGCTGACACTGGGACACCCTGTTGTTTCACCATAAGGCAAGAATTTAAAATGCACAATTCCATTGAAGTCACACAAAAAAACATCACTTTGACATTGCATCGACACTGACTTCCTAGGACATGGAGAACCTTCGTCAATCCATTGTGATGTTTTAACTTTTGTCTTAATGTCGTAGCCGTCAATCCAGCTTTCTCTCCCATTATGATCCTCGAATGAATGTTTCATCGTTCAAGGAGTTGCCAAAAAATCAAACTAGAAACAAATTTTACTGCCACTATAATATGCATGTTCAATTTTCCAGTCAAAATTTCATGGCATGACCCAATTGAGGTGCTAATATTTTCTGCAATTTATCTGACAGTCAATCGACGATTTGCACGCACCAGATCTTTGACTTTCTGAATGTGGGAGTAATCAGTTGAAGCCGAAGGCCTACGTGGTCGGGGAAGGATTACCTTCAATTGAGTGACGACCACTTTTATATCGTGGAAACCATTCGTAACATTGCGTATCACCCAATGCATCATCTCTATAAGATTGCTTCAAAAGTTGAAACGTTTCCGTGAAAGTTTTCCCCAGTTTCACGCAAAAATTTACATTGCATCATTGTTCTATGAATTCATACATTTGTGGTTACAGAGGTCATGCGCAGTGCAACCAACCGTATATCACTAAATAACTCCATTAACGCGTAGTTCAAAAAGTTTGGTTATTTTCTAAACATACCTCATACACTGTGGTTACGCTATTAATAATAATGACGACAATAAAGTCATAATTATACCTACGTTTAATGAAAGATAGTGCGATAATAATTAACGGTATTAGGCGCTAGTGTGGCCCCAGCATTAGGGAATTCTCGATATCAAATTTTACTTTTCCTGAAACACCGTATCCACGTTTATGTTTAAAATTTTTAATTCGGGCTTAACATCCTTTAGATGAAAAGGTATTATTTGAAAATAAAAAAAATCTATTGTTGATTAATCCCAAATACTAGACTTGATTATTAAAATTATGGATTAGTTTAAAAAGTGTCAGTGAATTAGGACTATAAGAAACAGATAATTCAGTTTTTTAAGACAAAGTATCTATTACCTGTAAAATAAATCAACCAAATTATTAGATTTAGTTCAGTTAAAGTAAAATATTACTGTACCTTGATAACGAACAGTTTCTTCAGATTACAATAAAGTGGCAGAAAATTGCAAGTAATATTTATTACAAAACGGTTATTTACCATTTGCTATATATAGAATTCTCCATAATTAGAATCGCGCTTTCTATATCAGACGCGTTGTTGTCACTAAAGTAATGAGAAGGCAATTTACCTCAGATAAGTTTCACCATTTACAAGCAAAATTTTAAAACATGACTATGTGGAACACCCAACCGCAGATATAAGACTAATAGCCGTAGTGTAAGTAATGTAGGTTAAGGGTGTTTGCGTTGTTACGGAAATAGGTCACTTTTCCTCATGTTTGCACGCAAATTACCTGAACACTTAAATAAATATATTGGAGTGGGCATTTTTATGTGGAAGTCCTGTTTCAGGAATTTCAGTATACGAATTAGTCTTACGGAGAACCAGTTATTTTGCGGGGCTCATCCTCATCCAGATTCTAGCCCTTCATTTGCGAATAAGTGGTATAGTCCTCTGAATCTAGAACGGCAAAATTTCAGGGCCATATCTCAGAAAAATATTTGAGATAATTTTCTTTTAAATCACTAATAATAAAAAAAATTGCAAAAAATGGATCATTGAATGTGTTCTTAGTGACATCTACATTTTAAATAAAAAATAAGCTTCATGACTGATTAATCCAATCATTGAAATGTTTTAAGCAATGGTTATTTCGATCTGAAGAAGCTTTGGTTACATTTGTTACAGATAATTATGAGTATTCCTCAAAAAGTTGAGTTTCTTCTTAAAAGAAGTCGAGTATGACAAACGAGTCGCGAAGGACATTTGTCTGAAATCCTCTTTCATATTTAATGACAATGTCTACCATTTAAAAACATGTAAAAAAAATTTTAATTAATAAAATCTCTTTTCTTTATATGAAATTCTGTGTTTCTATAGGGATATATCAAACCATGAAAAAAGTATTTTTAGGGGCACTTTTCATCCAAATTTTATTTTGTTCGAATTCTATTAACAAACATATTATTTGTTTTGTTGTCATTTATATTTTTTAGCATTGACATATTTTAAAGTTTTAACCGAGTGATCACTTCCTTAATAACACTCTTGTGTATTACGAGGCATCTGACCTAGATTAATTACTGTTATTAATGAAAACAATATTGAGGTTGGTTTATTTTTAAATTAGGATAGATTAATATACATCACACACAACGTTACTACATGTAAAAGTTCACATACGGCAACGAATTATCTGATTTATTTGTACTTTAACACTTCTCAAAAATTCCATAAATAAATAAAATTCACTGTAAATTAATTTTCTGAGTGTTATTACTGTTCTATCGTATGTAGTTATTTTTATGTGGTATTTTGTCGGTATTTTTTCTCACAGTACTACACAAAAATAAATTTTAAATATATAACCCCTAGAATCAAAGATTAGTTTAGTGGTAGTCTAGTTAAATATTTTTAAAGATCTAATTTTATAATGAACACAAAAAATTACTTTTGAAGTAGTGTTAAACATGAGGTTTATTACCTCTTATATTTGAAAATTTGCACCAGACACATTTTTAGTTTCAATTTAGATTTAATACTTGGAAAAATTTTATACAGGGATAGTAAAAAATGGAACGGATATTAGTGAAAAAATGCAAAAGACAAATATTTGTAAATAAGGCAAATTAACTAGCATTTCCTGAATTGCAAATTTTCAATTCTGAACAAATATACAACGAAAATACCATTAAGGATTGCAAATTCCAACCCTTTTTGAACGCCCGAGATGATTAAAAACATCGGTGTAGTAAAGCTTTTGATAAGAGAAAGTACTTAACACCTCAAATTACATTCTTCTATGTTTCAACTGTGAGAAAATAAAAAAAATATTTTAATTTACTATTAAAGAGGTGCTGGTTAGTAAAAAATAAATCAGTCCAATGAAATCTAACTGCGTATTCCAGCAGAGAAGAAAAAATTGCCTCAAAAATGTTTTTTTTTAATTTTCATGTACCGCTTCAAATAAACGTGGAACAAGACCAAACAAAAATCTGGAAAATTTATATTATACATTTTTAAATCTTCATAACATTTCTTGTTCGTCTACAGAAAATAATTCTTCAATAAATCAGCATTTTTTATCATATACAGTGTAGGAAAGTACCGATGGTCTATCAGAAGTTACGTGAGAGCGATAAAGTAGGCCATAGAAATCCATGTGATAGACAAGGATGGCTATAATGAAGGCGTCTAATAGTCAACTCCCATGTCGCCCTTCCACAAATAAGAAGTGGATCTGATTTGTGGAAGGGCGAAATGGGCGTTGACTATTAGACGCCTTCATTATAACCATCCTTGTCTATCACATGGATTTCTATGGCTTACTTTATCGCTCTCACGTAACTTGTGATAGACCATCGGTATTTTCCTACATTGTATATCTCCATCTTTGTGATTGAAACTCTGTAATGTTTAGCAAACCTAAGGTAAACTTCATTCTCATATATTGTATGACATACAATCGATTATTGATTAGATTTTCAGTGCTTAAGACAATAAGCTGATGTATTTGTTAGCTTACCAGACACATAGATACACTCTTTCCTTTTAAAATCCTATCGTCACATGAAAAAATGCAACGCCTATAAAGCTGCCTTAGCACATCTAGCAGCTTGATTCTCCAGAACGTTTCAATTCAAACGAAAAAAAACCTTGAAATTATGGCCAAAATATGTCATTTGGCATGTCACAAATTGCTCATAGAGTAATATTCTAAAATGCAATTCAAATAAAAGAAAATAAATCATATAGCACGCAAATTAATGACGGGTGCATTTATTATTGCTCCAATCTAGAAGAAAGAGCCGAAAAATCTCGCGTCCCAAATAATATAACGGCGCGTATGGTAAATTCACGTTGATTTTTTTCCTAGAAAAAAGGTGCCGTAACATAACGGTAAATAACATCACAAAAAACGTTATAATAGAATGTAAACAGATGTGGGTTCCCCTAGAGAGGTAAACACCATCTTCACGTAAAAAATGTGCCAAGTTAAGATTTTGAAGGTGGAAATACTTGCTACAATGTTTTTGTATGGTACATACTATGAGCACACGAGGCGAATTATTCATTGTTTTTTTTGTCGACAAAGTCTGAAAATAATAACTAGAGTCGCAAACAGAATGAAATATTGAATGATTTTGTATACCTAAAATAAATTGCCGATATTTGGTTAAAAAAAAATCTCATATTACAAACCATGTTAACAATAAATTACACATTCTGAATACACACAACGTCACATTTCACATTTCTATTTAGATTTACATCTGTGCTCACCGCCATTACGACCGTCTTTTCCTTTAACACTAGGCGACGTCAGTATCGTCATATTACGGCCGCTATATTACTGAACCGCTTTCCTAGCAAATCAAACCCGAGTTAAGGGTGGTGTATGAGCAGTCATTGTTCTGAGGATAAGCAAAAAAGTTGTGAGTTTTTAACTCACGTTGGTTGTCTATTAAGTGATTCTAAACATGTTTTACAAACATTTTAACAAGAAATGTCGGGCAATATGGATATTAATCCCTTGCTCTTAGTAGGTGTGCCAGCACTTCGTGTTAAAGGACGAATAAGTACTAGTCATGTAGAGCAGTGAATACATTTAATGAACTGTCAAAAGCGTAATTTAAAACTAGACAGAAGGGCTATTGAATTCAGAAAAGCCAGTAGGGCCAGTAACCTAGGTGAAGCGAGGGCCGCACCCAGACTTTTGTTTTAGGCAGTTAGGCTCTGCACGCTATCTACGGAGGTGTTCCGGACAAAAATACAATAACCATATATCTGAGCAAGTAAATGAGATAAATCTAACGTTTTCAGTCAACGAACTTTACTGTAGTAAATAGCGTAGTTCATTAAGAACCAGAATTAACTTTTTTATGAATGATTCGATAGGTATAGATAGTTTTGTTGTAACCATGAAGAGTACGAAATACTCCGTTTTGAAATAACATGAAATAACAATGAACAACATGATGAATAACAATTAAATACCATGAAATAACATACTTTGAAGACTTGTGGTAACACGTTGTACCTAGAATATACCCACGTTAGATTTCTTTGAAAGTACATATTTGAAAAAAGGCATAAATCCATATTTTGGAAACATGGTATGGCTTGGTGTAAATATGGAGTATGTGGGGTTAATAGAACCCGAACTATAAAATAAAATCGCTTATTCCCTGCTACAGGCTGGTGTAAGAGCGGGATAAGGTGATGTCA